ATTTTATTTGCTTTACTCCAAAACATCATATTGAAGTCTTGAAAACCTAAATTCAAGAACAATGGTGGCAGAGTTCTTGAGAGATTGACAAACCAATTGTTCCTGACTCTATATACAGAAGGAAAAAACAATGAGAAGTTAATCACACCTAAAATTGAAAGAGTATAAGTGTTGTCTAAATCTAATGTCCAAACAAGCAATTGCAATTCTTACAAAATTTAGGAAGAAAATATAAAGTTGACTTCAGATATAATCCGCGCCTTCTTGATCAATAAGCTTAAACCAATGGCCGCAACGACAACGTTGCGGTTCCCCTTCATGTAAAATAAAGAGCACTGGGAAAGTTGTGTCTGGCTCACCTGCAACCAAATAATGATACACAGACCACTCTTATTCCTAACCAATATTTTCATCGCTTATACCAAAACATCTCAATGAAACTGAGCTCTTCTGGTAAAAGAAGTTTATCATTTTAAATTATAATGTTATTTGTAATGTAGGTCTTCGAAAAAACAACATATAGAATTATTCTTGATTCTGAAATTTGTTTTCAAAATACATGTTATTTGTTTGTCTATAAGACTGTTAGCTGAAATGAAGTCACAAAGCAAATTGCTCCATTAACTGGTGTTCGGATGTTAAATCGATTTTAATTTTAAACTAAAATATAAACTAACAAAAGCAAGCTAGCATTCGATAATCGAAATCTGAAGGGATGAGGTTCGGGTTTTCCGGTGTTGAATTTTCTAATTTATAATACACTTTTGTCTCGTAACGCTGAAAATAATACTGTTCTAACAGCAAGTAATACATCGAAATTCCAGACAAACATGTCTTAAAAGAAAAATTGGCAAATCTATTCTCGGCATAACCTCTAGACCAATCCATTTTTCCGAAGAAGTAAGACCTGGGTTGTTCGAAAACAATATAACCTTCGCTTAAAGCTTACAATTGAACTGAGTAACTTACATCATCACCAGCAAGTGTTGCAACAAGCTGCCTTCTTTTCATTGACTCCTCGTGTGCTTCCAGTGGATCCGTGTCTATAAACAATTTAAATTAAGCCAAGCCTACTGAAAGGGCCTATGTGAATAAAATGATTTTCTCATTATCTCAGAAATTTGCAAGTTCTAATATTTTAAATAAAGAAAAAGGTATAGACAATATTAATAACATATTAGCATTTATTGATAGAACTAAGCTCTTTTTATTGTACATAGTAAAAGCCTACTAATATATCAATATCGATTAATTAAATTTAACGAAAATTCAACTGATTCCGCATCATATTATTATTTCTATTAAATTTGGTTTAATTCAGTAACTGATACACATCCTTAGCACGCTGTACTGAGACATGAAACTAAACACTTGAGCCCATATTTTCTTCATCAAAGTCTAAGGAAGCTAAAGGATTAAAGGATTCAAATAAATGAGAAAAAAAAGATTCAGTCAAATAAATTACCCAGCTTACTTGGACAAGTAAATATAATTAATCAAATTATATGTGAAAAGTTTAACAACTTTAAGGAAAAAGCTCACAATGGCCATAGTCTTCAGGTGAAGCAACTTTTGCATAGGAACGTTTCATACATATCGTTACCGCACGTAATGGTGTTGTATTACGCATCAAACCAGTGAAAAGTTTGTGAGCGTAAAGTTGAGCCATTTTCTTCGGGGTAATAAAATTAACAAACAGCTGCAAATAGTGGAAATAGTGGACATTCAATACGAAACAGTAGAAAAGCAATTTTAGCATGCTATGATGGATGCTTTGATAAAATCAAAAAATTCCGAGAGAAATTTCCGCTCAAAAATATTCGATAACGTGCTATTAATTAGGATTCTTTCACTGTTCGTTCATACTTACAGTAATAATTTGATGAAATTAAGGATGACGATTTTGAAATATACTGTTCTAAACATAACAAAAATTTGCAAAAAATAATTGGTGAGGTATAAGCAATTAATAAACTGATAAGAAGGCCTACTTGTGATTTAGTAGCTTTAAAATACGGTAAATGCAATGAAACCATGTAGAACACGGTAGACCTATGTAACATATACAATTAAACTTAACAAGAAGACAAGACCCTTCACCTCAATTAGTTCATTTAATTTATGTGATTATTGTGTGAACTTCTGAGACTACAACCTCTTTTTCAACTTCAAAATTTATGAAATGTTTCCTTGTGCTATTTTACTCACTCATCTCCTTATTCTACACACTATTTCATTTACATTGCTAGTTGGCATTCGAATTGGATACAAAATGCTATTGCACTAGAGGGATCTGGATATAATGCGGCCTGCACGTTTTTCATTCATTCATCTTTGCTCTCTTCTAATGCCTCATGGTTCACGTTGATTAAAGCGTAACGTAAGTTACGAATGTAAATAACATAAGTGGTGACAGTGAGCACCACTCACGTTGGTTGAAGCAATGACGTGGGTTTTTTGATGCTACGTGTTGTAGTAGGCAGTTTCTAAATGGTTAACACGACGTAGGTTACAGTGAGCGAAGATAGGCTTTTAGTAGATTAAGTACACTTATGTATCGTAACGTATTATATACTACTGCAAGCATGTCTTAGTATTGCTTGCAATATGTTAGATATGGTTTTGCTTATACTACTTGCAATATGCTTCCCAGAAATATTTATCGCGAAATTTCTGGATTTTCCAAACTTTTCAGTTTGTTCTATCATCCTTAGTTTCAGTGATTTATACAAACTTTTCCTTCCTTTATTTCTATTTTAAAGTATATCCAATCATTGGATTTCATTGTAGATTTATTGAAGGTATGCGTGAAATGGCATGCAAACATTTTGTTTTCGGTATCGATTTGGAAGTATCTTGCATTGTCCTATTTACACATCAAGTAATTTGAGTATGGACTGGTCAATTACCCTTGGAATTGCATGCCATGAGAGTAATTAGTAATTAGTTGAAGAATTCTCGAGTAATTGCATCTTTTTTCAATACCACTAGCAAAATGGAGTTGATTGGATGTGGTTGTTTGTCATAACGAGAAAGTTAATAAGTGACCAGAGTAAAGCTTGGTAAATTTCTGTAGGAGATGTTGGACGAATTTTTGGACGAGCTGAGAAGCCCGATGATGTTTGTTTATGTATCGATGTTGTTAACTTGGTGTATGGCTAGTAGCTCACAGTTGGGTGATTCTGTTGAGTTGGAATTTAAAGCTTATCGTTTGCAACAATATGATATCGTTGGCACTCCTCATGGTAGTCGTTCTTGGCAAGGTAAGGTACTTTTGAGACTTTCTGTTTGTTTCGCAAGAGATGATGTGTCATCACTAATTTTTGAATGCCAAAATAATACCCAGTCAAAAGCCTGGACTAAACCAAGTTATTACGATTTATTTGGTATATATATATACATATGTTTGGTCGTGTAAAGGATGCGTCAGTTATTCCTTCCAATCTTTTTTAGCTTTTACATATGATGAAGTGATAATGGTCTTGTTTGAATCGAGTTATAATTTAGACATTATTTGGTTTCTAGATGAGATATGTTTTTAACACTTTTAATGATGATCAATTTGCAGTAATATATGAAGCCGTGTCACTGGATAGTAATGTTCTTAGGCGTTGCTTAGTTGTGAACTGGCGCGACTTATTAGGTCGTGACTTGCAAGCTTTATTTAGTCAGGCATTTGGTGCTGTCCTCATTGTGTTACCAGCCAATTTGGACACGTTGACACCTTCAACAAAGGCGGTGAGCTTTTGATTTTACCAGTAGTTACGGCCTACACTTTACTTGAGGACCATTTCATGTATCCCAATTATTAATGTCAAGTGGTAGAAACGAGTAGTGATAATATCACTATTCGATTATGTCTTTCTTTTTGAAATAGTCGTATTTTAATGCATCAATATTCGACTCTAATGCATGAAAGTATTTGGATTTTCCGTCTTTATTATTTTATTTTCTTAACAAGATAATTGATGTAACAGTAGTTCATTATCATTTTGGGTTGACATGGGTTTGTTGATATGTTTTTGGGTTTTAACTTATATTACGGTTGATATATCCGAACTTGGATTTAGTGCTCCAAGAGTGTTGTAATTCTTAATAGGGTCTCGTCCAGTAAATTGTATCATTACTTGAATCTGAATTTGAAAAATTTTAATATTACTGGTTGCAGAAATTGGTTTCATTAGAAAAAAGCCTGCTCTATTTAAATACTGATATAGCAGTATATGTGGTACACCAGCAACCGGAGTTGCAGGCCCTCGTCGCGGAAGTAACAGCTTTTTCTAAGAGGTTTCTTGTAATTGTTGATTTCTTTAAAACGTTTATTTCCAATTTTCGATGTCGTTAAGCCAAATTTTGTGTAAATTTTGACAAAATTTAAAAATATTTTCAAAATATTCGGAAATAATTCTTTGGATAATGAGAGGATATTTTTGTTTGTACTGTTTGTTCAGTTTTTTCTTTTTTTCATTCACTTAATATTTATTTATTTGCACTGTTTGCCACCAGAACCATTCAATATGATATGAATTGTTTAATTTACTAAATAAGAATTTTGAGATCTCCAACTGCCTTCCAGCAACTGTTGAATGCAATAAGTGCAAATATCTTCCAGTTTTCATCGTCAGTATCAGTTTCTAATAATATTGTAATACCAAAATCAGCTAATGTTATAGTAAGTTTTGCTTATATTTCTTTTTTTTAACCCATATTGTATTTATCAGACTTCCAAATGCTTGAATAGTATACATTTTTGACTTGATCGAATTTATGATCCAAGAGGTTTCAACTAATGTTTAGTCTACGACATGTAATTTTTTTTTACTTCCATGACATGACATGAAACTTCCATGTTTCCATGACATGAAACTTCCAAAACTTCCATGACATGTAATTAGTGCAGATAACGGATCACAGTTTTCATCTAAGGTTATTTCTAGCTTAGTTTTCTTCCTACACTACCCGCATGAATGCTTCCGGTTTATCATTAATGTCACCATTTTTCCTCCGTCCTTTCGGATTCCAATAACGGTCTTCTGATTTTATGCGTTACTTAGTGTTTATTTCGTTCTTTTTCCAATTTTACAACTATTTCATGCTAAATAGAACGTGACTTTCTTCCAGAAAGGAATACTGTTACATCATTTCACTCAAAAGATAGTAGTGGTTCAATAGAACTACTACTCTCTTTTGAGAAAAACAAGGAAAATTATTCCAGATATGGTAAATTAGTTAAGATAGAAATCGAATTCTATTTTCAAGGGGCATCTGTGGTCAACAGATCGAAAGTCACCATTAATTGTTGTGGTAGCGCACTATGACAGCCATTCGGCAGTACCAGGATTGGCAATTGGTGCAGATGCCAACGGAAGTGGTGTAGCAGCACTGCTCGAATTACTGGCTATCTTCTCCCGCTTCTATGGTTCTGTAAGTATATATTATTTTGTTAATTTGCATTGTATGTTGAGGGTAGGATACCCAACAGCGTATTATACCCATGACCATCTTTCTGGTGCTCTCATGTCAGTAACTGCCGTCGTTTTCGATCAACCCGTAGAACTGAAATCGTGTTAGATTTTGGTAACACGATTCTGTTCTCGGGTAGATTGCTTGCGTTCAGTTCTATTTAGCTCACCTCTAACTTATTTTCTAGCCGATGTTATTCGTTAATATCTGTTTATTATGATAGTACAATTTCAACGCTTTGCCAAATAGCATCCCTTTTTTTGCAGAACGCTGGAAGCATTCCCTCACTTTTTCAGGTAAGACATTTCATTTAAAGATAGAATTTTTTTACTTTTCTCTTCCAGAATACAATGAAACCTAAATATAATATGATGTTTTTACTCACTGCTGGTGGAAAGTTCAATTATCAAGGTAGTCGCCAATGGCTGGAAGAACATATTGACAAACAGACCGGTAATTGTTGTTTGACAAATTAGAATTATTCTGCTTTTCGGGATAAATTAGACGGGAGAAAGGTATTATGGAGCTGAAAAGAATGTGTGACTTCTACGATTTCGGATGTTGAGAATTTGCTTAGATTTGCTGAAATAAAGACCTAGGTTTGCACAATTTTTCGAGCTGAAATAAATTCAGATTTAAATGTGCATTATAAGCTGTTTGCAGAAACGAACATCGAACTTGTCATATGTCTTGATTCCGTGGGCAAAGATGGCAGTCTTATAGCGCATGTATCAAAAATGCCTGCTGAAACATCACCTGTTGGGCGATTTTTTTTGCTGCTGAAAGATGCTACACCTCCAAATAGAACCGTAGAAATTGTGTCGAAGAAGATCAATCTGAACGCAGATGTGCTTGCATGGGAACATGAAAGGTACAATTTTCCATGTTTCTCTTCAAATGCTGAAAATTCACAAAATTTTTCAGTAATTGATGGAAAACTGTCATATGAAAAAGAACTCATTCTACCCTCTAAAGGGGACTAATTACTGCTGATTTGACTGATAGAATTTCATATGCTGATGTCCCAAGGTAATGATTTCTTTATCAAGTGCTTGATGCACTGCTGTAGATTTGACAGGAACATTCCATTAAGTAAATTGGAAATGTTCATATATATATATATATATATATATATATATATATATATATA